ACCCTCAACTCTAAACCCTAACCCCAAAGAGGGCCCTAGTTCGAGAATCTCCCGCTGAGGGCCTTGGCCAACCGCCGACGAATTCTGTGCTTCGCGCCTGTGTTGGACGAACCTGGGGGGTCTGGTTCAGGGCTTAGGGCTTTAGGGTTGGCATATCATGATTGTTCTTACCAGTCATTGTCTTACTACGAGTGTTGGTATTATTACCGTTGATATCACGACAGCCGTTTTTTTGCCAATGTTAGATAGTGCATCTTACATGTTCATATATGATAGTCTATGTAGTCTAGAGTATGTGGCACTTTGAACCTAGCTTTAAGTGTTCTGCTTGTAACCTCCAAGCAATGAAACTGTACTAATTCTGACATCATTATTACTACTACTCTTGCTACTATTCGGATCGCTCTTGCTACTCATGTCCTGCGCGTGGCAGGTTGTACCTGGTGCCGTGCAAGCTGAGACTCGGGGTGCTGCCGACACAGGCCCACCAGGTTAGGGTTTAGGGTTTTAGGGTTTAGGGTTCAGGGTTTTAGGGTTTAGGGTTTTGGGTTTAGGGTTTAGGGTTTAGGGATCCCGGTGACTCGCAATAGAACCCTATGTGGCCTTGTAGAAGCCGCAGTGGCAGGAACTGCTGCACAAGTACGACTTGGACGTGTTCTTCGATGTTGTTCGTGCCATCAAAGAGGCGCGCGCTGCCGTGTGGGATGTCTGTAAAACAAAGTTGGGGTTTAAGGGTCTAGGGGCTTAGGTTTGGGGGGAGGGGGGGGGTTCAGGGATTTCTTGTCATTGGCGGTGTGCCCTGCAGCACTGTCGGCTGCGCTTGATGCAGGGCAACGTGCAGCTCTTCACTCAGCGGATGCAAGAGCTTAGCGCGGCGTGAGCCCCGAAACTTTCGAGGGTTGCATGGGCCGTGGAAGCCTAGTTTGCACGCACATAGGAGCTTTTGTGGAACTCATGGTGAAAAGGATCTCATCAAGATGGGCACATACTTGCTCATGATGCGGCTGAAGTTTATGGTGCGCTCCTCAATTCCCTTCTCGTTGCCGCGTCGCCTGCGCATCGCCCTCACTTACAATCGGACGCTGAGATGCTGTAGTTGTTGAAACAATTTATTTCCCAACCTACAGACACGACCCTTCACAGCTTCTTCGACCTGCATCTCATAGCCAGTTGACGCTGACATGCGCTGAGTCTGATCGGCCGAATCGTCCAAGCACAGGTCCTCCGCAACCTCACGAAAGGAATCTTCTTGGAAGTTCGCGGGAGGCGCGGGTCGGGCTGCAATGCCTTCTCACAGGTTGAGTTTGTCTTGTGATGTCTTCCCTTCTCGTCTTGAGGGGGTTCCTTTAAGCCTGAGCCCAGGTTGACGGACAAGAGTGACAAGCTGGACTTCAAACCGCCACCCTCCCGGCTTCTGCTAGTCAAGAGTGATTGGTTCTGGTGTGCAGCTCCGCGGTGTCGAGCAGATGTTGGAGCAACGTCCTTTTGCTTGGCGGAGCGTCGACTTGGCTCTCGGGTGGATTCTGAACCTGCACTGTGGAGCTTCGGTTTCTGCGACCAAACGCACACCTTCCGGGCCGGAAGAACCGGTGATCGTTTCAGGGCACGACCAGAGCTACGGGGGAACTGCAACATCGAGTGGATCCACAATAACCCACAGTAAACTTGTAGCAGCCGTATGGTAAAGGTATATAAAGGTATAGTAACCTTAGGGTAACCTTGTAGCAACTTGCAACCTTATAGTAGCCGACTGTAGCCTTGCGAGTGGTCTGACGGAGGTCGTCGTGGGTTGGTCGCAGTGCTCGGAATCACCCTAAACCCTAAACCCTAAACCGTGCCATGAATTTTAACCTGTCCTAGAGCCCAGAGAGACCAAAAGTCTGTACTGGAGCGGTCCTGGTGTAGCCTTCCTGGATTGGTCTTTGAGAGGTACTTCGCTGTTCAGAGTCTGTGCGTGCGCATTTTTTATTGTCGTGGTTCTTGAAGGGTTATCCTGATTGTCATCATCACGATCATGATTATCTTTTCTGCTATCCTGATTATGACCATCATGCCGTTTTATGAATCTTACCAGAATGGGGAACATGATCATGAGTATCACCACTAGTAGCATTGTCGATGTCATCATCAGTATTGTTATAATCATAGCTATTGCGAGTTGTTGCCGTTGACATGCTGTATGTCCGGTACAGCACTTGGAATGCCGGGACAAGGCTGCGGCTTCTTGCCGTTTTGTGGGGATGCAGCAGTTCGGTATGTTTCGTCAGAATTACCGAAGTTGCATGCCAGAGCGCCTGCGTTGCCACAGTTCATTCGGATCGGCTTGCGGCTTGCGGTGCTCAGGTTTGAGCACGTCTTCGGCTGGCAAGACGGGTGTGATGCGGACGAAACCGCCCGCACCTCTTACTCTGCAACGTGGATCTGGCTCTCGGATCGCGTTTCCATGACGGGGCCCCGTCTCTATGTCAGGCCGCCTCCCTTGCAACGCTGATCTACAGTGGGGCGGTCAAGGGGCCCGAGGCTCGGCTGTGAGCCTGCAGAGGCATTGCGAAACTTTGCAAAGCTTTGCTCGCAAAGCGGCACGTCAATTCCTTGCACTCGGCTGTGTTTTGGGCTCCACGGCCTGGCAAACTCGCCGAATCAAGCATGACAACACAGCTTGCCGCGCTTTGTGTCGGACAGATCGTCGACCGAGGTACTTGAGCCACGACCGCCGGAAGGTCGTGTTTGCAAAGGACCGTCGCTGCCGTCGTCAATAGACTGTCAATGTCAACAGTTGGCAGGATGCCCCGTTCCCGCCACCCTCGAAGTGGCGAGTGTGAGCACCTGCCCGTACTGCTGAAAAAAGAGCAAAGTCCCACATGCCGCCCTGAGGTTTGGTTTTGGGACTGGGCTTCTTGTGTGTTGGGCCGCCGCCTGGCATGGCATCTGTCAGTCCGATTTCATGAGTCGCAAAGCACGGGCAGGCCACATGCGCGCATCCCCAAACCCCGAACCCAAAACCCAAACATCCCGAAGCCCTTAATCCAAGACCCCCGACCCCTGCGCCCAAACCCTAAACCCTAAACCCCAACATTGGCCCAACATCCTTCATGGCAAAGCTTAGCAACCCTTCAGTACCCCCAGTCCAAAGCGGGTAAGAGCCCTTCACGTGGCATTTTTCCCCCCTAAACCCTAAACCCAAAACCCAAAACCCTAAACCGTTTTTCCGTGGGAGCTTCGCCTCTTTGAGCCATGGCCCTGGCAGAGGCATGGCCCAGGCCCACTGCTGGGCACTTGGGGGATGTGAGGGTTTGCGGGGTTTGGGGGTTTAGGATTTAGAAATCAGGAGCTAGGGATAGGGCGTAAGGGCGTAAGGGCATAACCTGGTGTTTGGGGGAGTCTAGGAGTTGAGAGTTGGAGGGTTTCCAATCTATGCCGGGGCTGTGAGGGTGAAGGGCTCGGCGAATAAGGGTCGACCCCGAGCGCATGTTTTCAAGAGGAAGTGCAACGTGCGCTTGCTTGCGAGGTGGATGTGACCTGGCAGGCCAGAAAGGGGTGCCGGGGTGGGCCTCGTCTCGTGGCAGTGGTTGCTCTTCTTGTTGTTCTTCCTGCTGCTGCTGCCATAAGAAACCCCAAGGTACTGGGTCCGCGCAGTCGTACACACGCACAAACATGGCGATCTGCGACAGACCAGACTTGCAACAGAGTCACAGGTGGTCGATGTTCCCAGCTTGCCGGAAAATCCGGCACACGATTTAATCACTGTTCACAGGACTGTCCAGAAAAACCCAATCCGCGGAGCCACCCTCAAACAGCTAGGCGAGGGAACAGGCATCAACAACAGTTAGCGAAAGCCTTCTCCGAGTAACATCGCAGCTAGGTCGAGGACGGCGCTCGCCACAACTTCTCGCCGGCCTCCGTGCGTCACGCCAAGGGCCAGGGGTCTCAGAGGCACTACAGTGGCTCAGGGGAGTTTTCGTCTCCGACTTTCTGTGGCTTTTCCGGAGATCCACGAAAAGCCTCGGATGCCCCTGGGCCGCACAGTGCACCTCAGAGGTCTCTTCGTGGCCTCGGCTCCATGCTCCGATCTGCCTGGCTGGGGCCCGGGGCCCAGCCATGATTTAGATTCTGGATGTAGTCCTTTGTAGTCCAGCATGGTATGGGTGTGTGTGTGTGTGTGTGTGGGTGTGTGTGTGTGTTGTCGTGTTCAGGCATGGAAGAGACAGACCTCGATGCGCGCATGATGGTGCGCCGTCTGAGTGCTATTCGGGATAGGAGCCGTCCTAGGCACTTCTGCGAGTGCTCCCTGGGCCTGAGCCCTCTGACACCAAACCCGAAAATCCTCCAACCCTTGACCATTCCACCCCCAAATCCTTCAACCCTTCTCAAACCCTGAAACCCAACCCTTCCTTGTGGCTCTGCACAGTCCCTGACGTCCTGGTTGGACTTGCTCTGCCAGCTCGGCGCCCGGCGAGTCTCGAAGCTTTAGAACTTATCATGTCTACGAACATGTTGTCTAGCATAAGAGATGGAAAAGATAGTGTAAGATATGCCTGTATTTTGCGATAGTGACGCTTACTCTACCAGGCGGGCCGTTTGGAGGCTTGATGCTTTGGATGGAGTTGTAACCTTCACTTACGCGAAAGAAGAAGAGGGAAACTTCAAGCGCCTTGCCTCTTAGCCCTCATCCATATCCATACCAACGAGGACGGCCTGTTGGCTGGGGGTTGTTCGGGTTTCTAATGGTTCGAGAGTTCCAGGTTGCTAGGTGGATTCCTAAACCCTAAACCCTAAACAGAATCCCTAAACCCTAAACCCTAAACAGAAACCCTAAACCCTAAACCCTTGAGTGCCCGACTTGCAACCGGAGCAAGCTCCTCTGATGGTTTCTGTTCGGACAAGACTCGGGAAGCTTCGGAGAGATCTATCGCTGTTTGCAAGGAGCACGAATAATTGGAATAGGGTTTTGGGGTATATTATACTAGACTTATAAGAAGGAACCTCCAAAGTAGTATAAGAGCACTTACATCACGTGTCTGTGCAGTGTAGCTTGGTGTATAGTTGGGAGCGAAGCCAAAGAATCGAAGCTTTGTCCAGGTGCAAGATCAAGCACGTGCTGTGTCTGATGGGAGATGAGGCATCCTAAGAGCATGTTGTCGAACTCTTGACAAGGTAACATGCTTGCTTTGCAGCTGCCGTCAGCCAGCACTCCTTAGCTGAGTTTCGGGTACTGCAACAGCTGAAGTGGCTAAAGCCTCACCTGTGCATATAGTGTCACAGCATGAGATCTGCTCTCTTGCCTGGCAGCTTCTTTAACAGTCTGGCTCGAACCCGGCCCTCCTCTTGCCGGACATGGCTGACGAGAAGGTGGCACCTTGTTTTGCTGCTCAAAGTAGATCTGACTGTAATATCAAAGCCTCGCTGCGAGCTAGCATCGACATACTCAAGACGAAGTACCAAAGGTTCTTTGAAACATAGCCCTCAAACTGCAGGCCTAGTCGCTCAAGCCCCTCTTGAGCAATCTTAGGCGAGGCATGGGATCTTCGGTCACCATTCGCCAAAGAACGCAGTACCTCAAAACCATAAACCCTAAAGGTCAGGGCCATTTCGGATCCCCGAGCTGCTGCCAAAGATCGCTGTTCTAGGGCTTAGGGCTTTGTGCTTTGGGTTTAGGTTTAGGGTCTTAAAGATTACCGGATCTTCGAGATAGCCATTCCAGTCCCTTATTTACGGCCCTATATAGCCCTGCACATCCTCATTTTAACCCGCGTGCTGAATCCTGCTGAACACTCCTAAATCCTCTAATGCACTCTGACACCCTATACCCCTAAGTACGTAGGACCTTTAGGGACGGGACTTTGTGAGAGACCCTAAAACCATCCAAAACCTTGTAAAACCCGAACCTTTGATCTTGTATAATCGTAAAGTGTCACGATTTGAAATAGAAAGTCGAAAGGATCGCCAAATAGACCCTAAAGGTCCGCGCCACATACACCCAAACCTTAAACCTTCCAACTCGAAATCCTAAATCCTAAAACCTCAACCCCCTAACCTTGGCAGAAAACCCTGGGCCCAAAACCCTAAGCCTCCAACCCTCACCTTAGACCCTAAACCCCTAAATCCTAAACTCCAAAGCCTAGGCCCTTAAAAACACCCTAAGCCTAAACCCTAAACCCTAAACCCTAAACCCTAAAGCCTAAACCCTAAACCCTAAAGCCTAAACCCTTAAGAACCACCCTAAAGCCTAAACCCTAAACCCCAAAAACCCGAAAGCCTCTTAGCCTCCGAAGGCCGCGCCGGCGAGCGCCTCCGCCGGCGATGCAGCCGCCGGGC